TGTGATTATAAAATGTTAGACTCTCCGGTGAGTCTAGTTTTAGGATGTTTGTGAATGAATAAGTGTTGTTTGCAATGTTACAATGTTTTACATATTTAATCAAATGGTAGCTTACCCTTGCTTTTGTTGCGTGCTTGATCTTTTGGGATCCTGCTATGATCGTGTTATACACGTAAGCAGATTCCAAATCTTCTACAGGTGGTAGTAAGACCCAGTGATTTGAGAAATAGAGTAGAGACCTCCTAAATTTGAAGGAGTTATTTTGTGTTGTGTAATTAGGTGTAAAACATTCGTGTAATTAGGACTTTTGATGTGTGATGTTTTCTTTTCTTTTTTCTTTTCAACTATTCTGGATATGTAAACATAACTATTATACCTCTCTTAGGTGAAAAAGTTATTTTCTTCCTTCATTTAGTGAAAATTTTAAGTAGAATTTGCGGGTTGTTACAAATTGGTATCAGAGCGGTAATTTCTAGGAAACCTTAGGGTTATGGACCTGCTATGCTAACTGCGTGTAGACTTAAAATAATTGTAGTATATTATAGAATGATAATTTTTTTCTTTCTTCTTATGTCTAGGATGACTCCTAGACCACCTCCCCAGCCTCAGCCTCAGCCCCAGTCTGAGGTGAGTCAAATACTAAGATTCATTGAAGTAATGGTCGCTACCATGCAACAACAAGGAGTAGTAATGACACAACAACACCAGGTTGCTATGCAAGAATTGCAAGCATCAAGGGAGGCCATTGTAGCGGCAACAACAGCAACAACTTCTAACCCCACTCCAGCTTCCTCCTCCAGTCAGCCACAAGGGCAAGCAGTGTTGGCTGGCTTCTTGAAGCATGGGCCGCCTAAGTTTTTAGGAGATTCTACCCCATATCAGATAGATATGTGGATGGAAGGGATAGAGAATATTTTTGATGTTATGGAGTGCCCTGAGGATAAGAAGGTTACTTTTGCTGTATATCTATTAGCAGGGGAGGCTGAATTTTGGTGGAAAGGAACCAAGAGGCTGATGATTGCCAGAGACGAAGCTATCAGTTGGGAAAGCTTCAGAGAGAAGTTCATGGGAAAGTACTTCCCACGCAGTGCACGATTTGCTAAGGAGGCAGAATTTCTAAAGCTAGAGCAGGGAGATCTATCAATGCATGAGTATGCTACCAGATTTGAGCACCTGGCGAGATACTATTCTCAATCGAGCACTGAGGCATGGCTATGCAGCAAATTTGATGAGGGTCTGAGACAGGAACTGAAGGAGTTTGTGGTGCCGATGTTTGTGGCTGATTTTCCTGTTCTGGTTGAGAGGGCTAAGACTGCAGAGAGACTGGTGGCCGGTAGAGTCAAGTCAGTTGCGCCACCGGTATCTGGGCCCTCAGGCAGCAGAGTGGAGTCTTCTAGCAGAGTTAGGTCCCATCCCGGTATTAGGAGGCCGGAAAGGAGGACCTCGTATGCTCGCCCTTTTCCCAGGAGGGAATTTGCTCCTACTTCTCACCAGTCAGGTGGGAGTAGCCAGTTTAGAGGGAGAAGCTCACCTTCCTTCCCGCATCAGCAGATCCGAGGTCCTATTAGATGCTACAGATGCCAAAAGTTGGGGCATTTTGCCAGAGACTGTAGAGAGGATTTGCCAGTAACTCCATTTGGGAGCCAGCCGACTGGAGGTCAGAGAATGGAGATCAGACCGAGAGCACCCGGTAGGGTCTTCACCATCAAGGGAGCAGAAGCCGAGAAGTCCAGTGATCTAGTCCAAGGTTTGTGTTTCCTCTTTGGTCACCGACTGAAAGTTTTGTATGATTCTGGAGCGACACACTCCTTTGTGTCACTTGATTGTATTGAGAGACTATATTTGCCTGTTAGGGACCTTACCTGTGAGTTGTTCGTGTCTACTCCAGTAACTGATCTGGTGGTTGCATCCAAAGCTTGTTGTGGATGCCCCTTAGTGGTAGAAGGTCGCAAATTCAGAGCGAATTTGATTTGCTTGCCCCTCAAAGACCTAGATGTGATCCTAGGTATGGACTGGCTAGTCCAAAATAAGATTTTGATTGACTGTGGGCAGAAGAGACTGTTGTTTCCCGAGTCGGAGGAATTTGAGATGTTATCCATCTCCCAAGCTTTGAAGGAGATCCAAGAGGGAGCCCAATGTTATGATATCCTAACTCATATGGGACAGCCAAGCGAAGATGTTGGATCAGAAGTTCCAGATGAAGTGTCGGGGTTACCTCCTAGGAGGGAGGTCGAGTTCTCCATAGACCTTATACTTGGAGTAGGACCAGTGTCTATGGCGCCTTACAGGATGACTCCAACTGAATTGGTTGAGCTAAAGATGCAGATTGAAGGGTTATTGGACAAGATATTGATCAGACCTAGTGTGTCCCCTTGGGGAGCACCAGTGTTGCTTGTTAAGAAGAAAGATGGGGGTTACAGACTGTGCATTGACTATAGGCAGTTGAACAAGCTTACAGTCAAGAATAAATATCCCCTCCCTCGGATAGATGACCTATTGGATCAGTTGCATGGGGCAGTAGTATTCTCTAAGATCGACCTGAGGTCGGGGTATCATCAGATTCTGGTGAAAGAGGGAGATATTTCGAAAACTGCCTTCAGGTCCAGATATGGCCACTTTGAGTTCGTGGTCATGCCATTTGGAGTGACGAATGCGCCAACCATCTTCATGGACTACATGAATAGAATCTTTCATCCCTTTTTGGACAAGTTTGTCGTCGTCTTCATTGATGACATACTTATCTATTCACGCTCGCATGAAGAGCATGAGCATCATTTGAGAATAGTGTTGGAGATCTTGAGGGAGAGATAGTTGCATGCTAAGTTATCTAAGTGTGAGTTTTGGATGGAAGACATCAAATTCTTGGGGCATGTGGTGTCTGCTCAGGGGATAACAGTGGATCTTGCCAAGGTAGAAGCAGTTCTAGACTGGGTACGCCCCAAGTCAGTGTCCGAGGTTAGAAGTTTTGTGGGATTGGCCGGCTATTACAGGAGGTTCATTAAAGGTTTTTCCAGAGTGGTAGCTCCTTTAACCTGGTTAACAAGGAAGGACCACCCCTTTGTTTGGACAGATCAGTGTGAGAAGAGTTTTCTAGAACTCAAACAAAGGTTGACCAGCTCGCCCATACTAACTATTCCTAATTCAAGCAAACCATTTGAGGTTTTCTGTGATGCATCCAATCAGGGGTTAGGGTGTGTTCTAATGCAGGATAAAAAGGTAGTGGCTTATGCTTCTAGACAACTGAAGAGTCATGAGAAGAATTACCCCACACACGACTTAGAGCTAACAGCTGTGGTGTTTGCTCTAAAAATCTGGAGGCACTACTTGTATGGAGCTAGATTTGAGGTATTTAGTGACCATAAGAGCTTGAAATATTTGTTTGATCAGAAAGAGTTGAACATGAGGCAGAGGAGATGGATGGAATTCATCAAAGACTATGACTTCCAGTTGATGTATCATCCAGGGAAGGCCAATATAGTGGCAGACGCTCTCAGTAGAAAGGCGATTGGAATGTCTGCACTGATGATTAAGGAATTGGAATTGATAGAGAGCTTCAGAGATCTAAATCTAAGCTTTGAAATTTCACCAGTTAGTATCAGCTGTGGGGTGATGACTATCACCAGTGACTTCTTGGAAATCATTAAAGAAGGCCAAATGAAGGATCCTAGCCTTATACAGATTAGAAACTCTTTGGGTACAGAAAAAGTGAAGAAGTTTGTTTTGGGAACAAATAGTGTGCTTAGGTTCAAGGACAGAGTCTGTGTTCCTGTAGGTGATGAGTTGAGAGGAACAATTTTAGAGGAAGGGCACAAAAGCAAGTTGAGTATACACCCTAGAGTGACTAAGATGTACCAAAATTTGAAGGAGACTTTTTGGTGGCCTGGGATGAAGCAGGATATAGCTCAGTATGTTACTAGCTGCTTAACATGTCAGAAGGCCAAGGTAGAGCATCAGAGACCAGGTGGAATGCTACAACCACTAGAGTTACCTGAGTGGAAGTGGGACAGCATATCTATGGATTTTATTACCCACCTGCCCAGGACGGTTAGAGGACATGACTCCATCTGGGTCATTGTAGACAAATTGACTAAGTGTGCCCACTTCCTGCCGGTCAATCTAAGAATGTCTATGGACAAATTGGCTCAGGTGTACATCAAGGAAGTAGTGAGGTTACACGGGGTACCCTCCAGTATTGTGTCAGACAGAGACACAAGGTTCACCTCACGATTCTGTTAGACCTTACAAGCAACATTAGGAACCAGACTGAGGCTTAGTACCGCCTACCATCCCCAGACAGACGGACAATCTAAGAGAAGCATCCAAACCCTAGAAGATATGTTAAGGGCTTGTGTGCTGGATCATATGGGGGCTTGGGACGAAGTACTTCCCTTAGCAGAATTCACATACAATAACAGTTTTCATACCAGTATTGAAATGACACCCTTTGAGGTTTTATACGGGAGGAAGTGTAGAACCCCCTTGTGTTGGTATCAGGATGGTGAGAAATTCCTGGTTGGGCTAGAGTTAGTACAACAGACTACAGACAAAGTGAGGTTAATACAAAGCAGAATGAAGATTGCACAGAGCCGCCAAAAGTCTTATGCGGATAGGAGGAGGAGACCCTTGGAGTTCTCAACTGGTGATCATGTTTTTCTCAGAGTCGTACCTATGAATGGAGTTGGGAGAGTCATAAAACCCAAGAAGCTAACCCTGAAATTTATTGGACCCTACCAAATTACCAGGCGTATTAGACAAGTAGCTTATGAGATTGCCCTCCCCCCTCCCTTGGCAAGGCTGCACCCTGTATTCCACGTATCTCAATTGAGGAAATACGTGTCTGACCCGAGCCACATTTTGGAAGTTGATGAAATCCAAGTGAGAGAAGATCTGTCTTTTGAAGCCACTCTAGTGAGAGTAGAGGACTCACAACTCAGATAGTATAAAGGTAAAACCATCAGAGTGGTCAAGGTAGTCTGGAATACCAAGCCAAGTGACTGCACATGGGAACTAGAGGAAAAGATGCGGAAGAACTATCCGCAAATGTTTACCTGGTAAGTATGATTTTCGAGGACGAAAATTTTAAATTGTTGGGAAGTATTGTAATATGCTGTAATTAAAAGAAAAGTAAAAAGAAGAGAGAGAAAATCTGGTTTTCTTCTTCTTCGTACAAACAAATCCCCCATCTCCATAACTCAACTCTACCTTCTCTCCTACAGATCAAGACTTTCTTCTTCCCCGATCAAGAATCTAAGACCGTCGTTGTGCTCACGGCGGAGAACAGAAAAGACCCACCGATTAGAATTTTGTTTCGGTAAGTTTGAATTTTAGGGTTTTTGCTAGTTAAAATTTGGGGTTTTGAGAATTTAAGGAATTAATTGTGGAATTAAAGGTTTCATCTTACTCTGTCACTCCCCAATTTCATGTTTAATTCTGTTTATTACTTCAATTTCATTTTTAGGGTTTTCCAAATTGGGGGAGAACGGTACCTCTTAGGTGTTTTGGCATTCCTAAGATTTTATTGGAATTAGGTTGACGTGTAACATCACCCTCAGGTAAGGGAGGCTTCTTTAATTTTTACTAGTTGTATTGTATTGATGAAAAATTTAATAAAGTGAATGATGAGTATGTTTGTGATATATATACGTGCTATATGTGATATGAGAGTATGTTTGTGATATATATACGTGTTATATGTGATATGAGAGTATGTTTGTGATATATATATATATATATATATATATATATATATATATATATATATATATATATATATATACGTGTTATATGTGATATGAGAGTATGATTGTGATATATATACGTGTTATATGTGATATGAGAATATGCTTGTGACATATATACGTGCTATATGTGATATGAGAGTATGCTTGTGATATTTATACATGATATATGTATATGAGAGTATGCTTGCGATATATATACGTGTTATATGTGATATGATATTGTGAACACTGTGGAAACCTTGCAGTGTAAATTGTTTTGAAATAGATATATTTGTATCATTGAATTTCTAAATTGTATGGTTGGTTTGTGAGGTTTGAAGGAGAAAGGATGTACCGTTTTAAGTGAATTATGATTGCATAGTAGTTGAGAATTTTAAATGTTGGACTGGACATTTTGAACTGCATGATGTTGGTTTGATTCTAGAAACCCTGAGTAGAATAATGTGTATGAAATAGTTGTTGAATGGTAGATTTGATGTACTATGTAGAATTATGTGTATGGAATTATGGATAGGCCTAATAGGGTATCCAGACTTCCAAGATGTTCCTAGTCATATAGACGAAGACATCTGTGGTGGGAAGTCGATGGAGACACAACATAGTGTCAATCTTATGCATGTGTTGCTCTGATGAGAGGTTGAAAAAAAAATGATATTATAGGCCTGGGGCCATGAAATTTTAAGGGTCTGGGACCCCAAATATTCTTCATCTGGTGTCTACCTTACTGGTCTGAATTCCATATAGTTTTCCGGAAAGCGTCAGTCTTGTTGTGTGTTGTGATTGTAAAATGCTAGACTCTCCGGTGAGTCTAGTTTTAGGATGTTTGTGAATGAATAAGTGTTGTTTGCAATGTTACATTGTTCTACATATTTAATCAAATGGTAGCTTACCCTTACTTTTGTTGCGTGCTTGATCTTTTGGGATCCTGCTATGATCGTGTTATACACGTGAGCAGATTCCAAATCTTCTACAGGTGGTAGTAAGACCCAGTAATTTGAGAAATGGAGTAGAGACCTCCTAAATTTGAATGAGTTATTTTGTGTTGTGTAATTAGGTGTAAAACATTCTTGTAATTAGGACTTTTGATGTGTGATGTTTTCTTTTCTTTTTTCTTTTCAACTATTCTGGATATGTAAATAGAACTATTATACCTATCTTAGGTGAAAAAGTTATTTTCTTCCTTCATTTAGTGAAAATTTTAAGTAGAATTTGGGGGTTGTTACAATATCAATTAATAATATTAAATTATTAAAAATCAATTTAATAACTGATTTAATAATTAATTTTAATTTTTTTATTCACATGTTACATTAAAACAAATTAAATAATTATATTACTAAATTATTTAGTATATTTAATAAGTTACTAAACTGTTTATTTATATATATATATATATATATATATATATATATATATATATATATTACAAATAAAATTAATTTAATGATTATTTTTTTACTAAAATTTTAGTCATTAAATATAAAAAATATATATATTATTAGTGACTGAATCTTTTGTTATTAATTTTAGTCACTATTAATTCTTATTTTAATATTGAACTCAAGATTATTTTATTTATTTTTCAGATATTTAAATTTTTGTACTTAGTTAGGTATTTTAAGAATTATATACAATTATGTTGTATTTTAGATTACTGATATATATATATATATATATATATATATATATATATATATATATATATATATATATATATATATATCATCTTATAACGTTTTTTAATATGTTATAAGGTTTTTTATATGTTAAAATAACGGTAATAAAATGTTGAAAAAATATATATTAAATATATTAATTACAAAAATATAATATGTATTTAAATATTATTTATTGAAGTGGATAATAGTATAGATATATTTTATTTTTAACATATTTTTATTTAATATAAACTTTCTCTATTTGTTAAAATAAATTATTTATGTAGAATATATATATATATATATATATATATATATATATATATATATATATATATATATATCAAAAGATAAGTATAGATTTTATTTTAAAAGTATATTTAAAATAATTTTTAGATATATTGAATTTATATTTATCAGTTTTCAAGAAAAAAAGTTGTTTCATTTATCAAAGTAAACAATATAATAATAATATAATTTTTTATTTAAAAGAATCATATAAAAAACTTGAACATAATTGATATAAAAAATATTAGGTTATATGAAATTTTTAGAGAAAGTGACAAATTATTGTTATAACTTATATTAGGAAGCTAATAATTATTGTTATTTATTTAAAAAATAATATAAAAGTTTTTATAAATAATAAACTAAATGAATTCAACCAGATTGAATGAGTATTGATAATATTTAAAGAATGAATTAAAAAAATTACGGAAAAATAATATAGAGATATATAATGTGTTTATAAAAAAAATATTTCAATTGAATCTATCTATTTTATAGATTATTAATAATTTTGTCATGTACGAAAATCTATTAAGATAAACTATCAAAGAAAAATTTCTTTATTCTTATTGTAATTAATTTTACTTAATAAAAAAATATTATATAAAAAGTCATGATTACTTTTTTTACTTGATTATTCTTTGAAAAATAATAGAAAAACCTTTAATAGCACCTCTTAAACAATTATTTAGAAATAATATAATTCAAAAATATGTGTTTGTAAAAAATAACAATAATTAGATCAAATTAAATAATATATTTTTCTTATTAAATATAAATTTCAAATAATTCTAATTAATTTAAAATATTATATTTAATCTTTTTATCTATATTATTGTTAAAAATAACAATAAATTAACTTAATAATAATGAATAACATTATTAATAATTAATTTTGTATTAATCCAGAGTGTTGTTATTTTTATATTATTTAAATATGTTTTTCAATTTTAATATTAAAATTGTTATCTTAATTAAATATCAAATTAAGGTAAAAGAATTTTTTTCTTATTTATTAAGATAAAATTTTGAATTTAAACATTATAAATAATATAATTTATTAAAGATATAAAACTAAGTTAAACTCAAAACCATTATGTGGTAACTAGTTTCATGTTTTATAATACTTTGTCAAGGTTTCAAATAAGAACGTTAACTTATTTATTTAAATAATTGATTAAAATGGGAATTTAAATTGAAGACAAAAAATTTTTAGTATTTTATTTGTCATAAAAAAATAGATATATAAATAATAATATTAATTTATAAAAAATTAATACATTTTATATTAATGATATTTTTATAAAAAAAAATTATTATATAATATTTTATATGACACACATGATTTTATTATTTTAATGAAATTATGCTAATAATTTTTTTAATCATTATTTATAATAAAATATATTTTTATTATTTTTGATGAATTATAGTGAAAATTTTTAATTTAATCTATTATTTATGACAAATATATTATTTTTTCACTTTTAATAAAATTATAGTAACTATCTTTAATTTAGTCATATTATAAATAGTATTTGTGATAAATTAAAAACTCATCATAAATAATATATATAATGACAAATATTTATATTTGTCAATTAATTTTTGTCATTACAAATTATATTTCTTAAAGTAAATTCATGTTTCTAAAATTAAATTTTAATTTTTTTATAAAAAATTAAGTTTAGATTGAAATAACTAAGGATGCAACTTCAATTGATTTTTTATTTATTTTACGATTAAAAGGTATATAATATTGTTATTTAATATATAATTAATTATGTTTTACTAAATCTTTTGCTTGCTTTCGTAAGGCGTTTGTTGTAAGCGTGTACAGTGGCGGATCTTCTTGGGAGTCGAGGGGGGCCTTGGTCCCCCCAAAGTTTTATAACTCCCATGCAATTTATGATTTTGGCTCCCCCAAACTTAATAAACATTTAATATATTTACTTGTATATTTACAATTCTATCCTCTCAGCCCCTCCTCAATTTTGTAACTCCTATGTAATTTATGACTTTGTCCCCCTCAAACTTAATGATCATTTAATATATTTAAATATATATCTACAATTTTATCCTTTTACCCTTTCATCTTCTTTCTTCATTTTATATTTATTTATTATTTATTAATAATATATTATTTTATATTTATTTATTATTTATTAATAATATATTATTTGGCCCCCAAGATCAATGGTGAAGATCCGCCACTGATCGTGTATGTGTGACGTATGCTTTTTATCGTGCAAGAAAACTTCGTAACGAAGTTTTCCTCATGCACTGATAAAATATTTTTCTTTTATATGTTCGAAGGGGGATGAATGGTTTCTGCGGGAAATTCTTCCTCCCATATCACATGTTCCTCATTTTTCTTCTTTTATTGTCTAAATTTCAAGCAACGAGACTCTACTCGTGCAGGATCTGGTGAAACGGGAGAGAACTTGAATTAAGTGGGAAGCTTCGGTAGAAATACCATACCAGGTAAGGGGAAGTTTAATTCATTCAAAATATGAAATTGAATTGCTAGGTACTCTGTGAATAAGGAATAGGAGTAGAGATATGAATTATTTGAATGTCTGATTTTGAAGAATGTTTGATTTTGATGAACTGTTCACTGTTTAAAAGCTTTTGAAATTCTTGAAATTAAGGATGAATTATATAATAAAAGTGTTGTTTTTAACTTAAATTGAACATGTTTATGGTTTAATTTTGATTTGGAACTAATTTGGGTGATTGAAACTGAGAAATTTGAAACCTGGATTTTGAAAATGGCGTATTGGAGGTGATTACTATTCATATTTTGCAAAGTTTTAAATATTGATTAAATTCTTGAAATTAAGAATGAATTATATGGTAAAATTGATGTTTTCAACTTAAATTAGATATAATTCATGTTTAATTTCGATTTGGGACTAGTTTGGTTGTCTAAAACTGAGTAATTTGAAATCTGCCAAATTTGCAAAATTGACACTATTACTGGGCGAAGGAAGAAGAAAGGGATATGGTGGGGATTTTTTAAAAAGATCAAGGGTAAAATAGTCATTTTTCATCCTAGGGACATAAATGTAATTTTTGAAAATGTTCAAGGGCAAAATAGTCATTTTACATCCTAGGGACATAAATGGAATTTTTGAAATTGTTCAAGGGTAAAATAGTCATTTTCGGGACATGGAAGGAATTTTCAAAAATGTCCAAGGGTAAAATAGTCATTTAGGGATATACATGGAATTTTAAGAAAAGATTAAGGGCAAAATAGTAATTTAATGATTTCGGAAATAGTTTCGGAAATAGTTTCAGAAATGATTTCATAAATGATTTTAGAAAAATATATATAAAGAGAGAGAGAGAGAATGAAAGTAGTGTGTTGTGACGTGTGTGGGTCAGATTGAGCCTGAGGGCTGATGCCCATAATCAGTCCTGAGACGTTATATATTGGCTAGAATGAGCCAGAGGGTTGGTGCCAGAATCAATCAAATCCTATTTTTATTGACCCGAATGAGCCGTGAGGACAGGTGGTCCAGAATCCGGCAAATGTGAATAATTTTTGTTATGTTTGAATGGTACTCGGGGTGGTAAAGAGTACATTAGTGTAATAACTATGTCAGAGGATTCTGAATGAGGTCCCAGACTTCACTGATTGGTCGGGTCAGGTAGACTACGAGATCAGGTGGTGAGAAGTCGATGGGGGGATGACTGGTGGCGCGCTCGGAGGGGTACTCCAGTATGAGTGATGAAGGGCGCCAGTAATCCTACTCTGTGTGGAGGGTGGTCAGAATGGTACTGCGGGTACCGATCACAATGTGCCCACAGATGATAGCCTCTAAGTTCGGGCATAGTTAGGGTATACTTCCGGAAGGTGTTTTAGTGTGTTGATAATTTCGTAATTGATCATAATATATAATTATTAATTCTATATCTGTTGTATTATATCGGATGATTTAATACTTACCCCTATTTTCCATGTGGATGAGACTGCGATGATCACTTTTATGTGGGAGCAGATCAGGAGTTGAGAGATGGTGATGTGACTACTAGACAACAGGGATAGTTCAGTGGGATAACTTCGAGGGAGCTACTTTTACATGTATAATATATAAATAAATTATGTTACTATATTTTGAAGTTCTGTTAGTGAACCGGAATTTCAATCTATGTTACAATTACAGTAATATAATGTAAAATAGATGTTGTTATTTACTTGTTTACTACTTTGCGAAGACATCATTATAGTAACGATTTCTAGGGTCATTACAATAGTAGTATCAGAGCGGTAGTATCCTTGTAAATCTGTGGGGATGGGTAGTGACCCTATGATAAGTCCGTTGTGATTATACTCTGATATGTGAGTGTGTGTGAATGTTTGCTCTGTATTGATGGTTGCATTTGATATATGATGGCACCGCGACCTCCTACTCCTACTCCTACTCCACCGAGTGTAGATGCCCTACCCAGGGCAATGGAAATGTTGGCAGCTGCCATGCAGCAGCAGGCTACCTACCCGCAGTGGAGGCCAACTATGGCATCATCCTCTGTAGGATTTCACCAATCAGAGCAGATGGGACTGACTGAGTTCATGAGGCATAATCCACCTCGTTTTGGAGGAAATTTGGGTCCAGATGCAGCAGAGAAGTGGTTGCGTGAATTGGAGAAGATTTTTTAGGCTACCTTATGCCCGGAAGACAGGAAATTGACATTCGGAAAATACTTACTAGTGGATGAGGCTGAGTTCTGGTGGTCAGGGACTCAAAGGATGATGATTGCACGTGGGGAGGTGTGTAATTAGGAAACCTTCCGTGAGAGATTTCTGGAGAAATACTTCCCTGACAGTGTTAGATTTCAGAAGGAGACTGAGTTTCTGAGTCTGAGATAGGGTAATATGACGGTGCATGATTACACCGTACGATTTGAGCACTTATCTCGTTTCTACACAGGTACATCTTCAGAACAGTGGCTTTGTAGGAAGTTTGAGGAAGGTTTGAGGGCTGAGATCAAGCTCATGGTGGTTCCTTTCTCTATCAGGAGATTCCCAGAGCTGGTGGAGAAAGCGAAGACAATAGATAGACTCCAGGAGGGAGGACTCAGAGTGATGAGGACCCACCCAAGTGGGGTCCCGAGTGGGGGTAGTAGATCAGAGAGGAGGATGCCTTATTCACACCCCCAGTCTTCCAAGAGTGGCAGTGTTACCCCAGCACCTCAATCATCAGGATTTGTATCCGGGGTGAAATGTTTTCAATATGGAGGCCCTCATTACAGGAATCAGTGCCCACAAAATGCCTTCACTAATCCTTCCCAGACTTCTCGGGCAGATCTTTGCTACACTTGCCAGAAGCCAGGACATATGGCTAGAGACTATCCACAGAAGCCCAGTGCTATAGTCTTAGCTGGGGCATCATTAGCAACCAGGGGGAGTGATGCGAAACCCAGAGCTGCAGAACGGGTGTTTGCCTTGTCAGGAGCAAAGGCATCGAGGTCAAAGAATTTAGTGCAAGGTGTGTATTTTATCTCTGATATACCTCTACGAGTTTTGTTTGATTCAGGTGCTACCCATTCTTTTATTGCTGATAATTGTATGGATAAACTTAAGTTACCTATGTGTGACCTCCCCTATGAATTGAGGGTATCTACACCAGCAACTGGACTGGTGGTGTCTTCCTATGTGTGTTTAAGGTGCCCAGTTGTCGTAGAAGGACGACAGTACAAGGTGAACTTAATCGGTTTACCTTTGAAGGATATAGATGTGATCTTAGGGATGAATTGGTTATCTACCAATCGCATTCTCATTGACTGTGGATAGAAGAGGTTGGTACATTCAGAATTAGGAGATGAACTTATTACATCAGCTCGGCAGGTTCAGAAAGAGCTACGACAGGAAGCTTAGTGTTATTTGATTCTGACTCAGATGGATGAAATGAAGGATAATATCCTGGAAGAGGTACCAGTTGTGAGAGAATTTCCTGATGTGTTTCTAGATGAGATACCAAGGCTGCCACCTCAGAGAGAGGTCAAATTTGGGATTGATCTAATTCCTGGTTCAGGCCCAATCTCTATAGCACCATACCGTATGGCTCTAGCAGAATTGGCTGAATTGAAAAAACAGGTCGAGGATTTGCTGGAAAAGAAGTTCATTCGCCCGAGTGTATCTCCCTGGGGCGCTCCTGTATTGCTAGTAAAGAAGAAAGATGGGAGCTTGATAGATACATTTTTACTCATTCTTTTATGTTTGATTTATAGTATTTTAGGCTAGTGTTGATGTTATTTTGTTATTTTTTAGATTTGTTTTGATTTAATAAGTCAATTTAGACATTAGTTGTAATTTTTGGTTAATTTTCGTATTTTTTTCCAGTTTTGTACAGTTTTCTTGCGCAGACCATATCTGGAGCTACAGACCTCGGATTTGGACGTTCTTGATGTCGTTGGAAAGATAAGAAAAAGATCTGCAACTTCTCTGTTGGACGAAAGACCCAGTTCAAACTTTAAGGATGTATAATTTTGCTCACAAATTCTCAGCCCTGTGCAAGATTATACAGATTTTCCTGTCTATATTGTTTTAGTTGATTAGTTGTTAAAAAAAAACTCATTAGTGGGTTAGCCCATCAGTTTAGGCCCAATTATCATGTCTATAAGCTTCTGCAGCTTACATTAAAAGGGAGGAGATTCTTTTTCTACTCAATTTTTTCTTTTTTTGGGAGAATTCAGAATATAGATTACAGAACTTTCCTATTCTCTTTTTACTGTTCATCTTCTCTTTCTTTTCTTCTCTCTCGATAAAAAAATTCAAATGTTTGTTCGCATTAGTTCAACATCATCGATTGAAATGGAGAACTACA